TCTCAAAATAGGATATTGGGGGCTTTGTGTAATTTGAACCCCCTCGGCTGAAATACGGGTGCACTTCAACAGCCATGCTTACAATTTTGCATGGAAATAAATTTGAGGAAGGTGAGTGTCTCAGCTCATGGGCATTCTTTGAAGTCAGGACTTCAAAGGGGAGAAGGAGTGCTGAAATCCTGCATCCACATCTGAAGCACCCTTTGCCCTCAAAAGCATAAAAAAAAACATGAAAAGATTTAATTGTAGGACCAGTGCTCTGATAAGAACGCAAAGTTTGTCTCCCTCCTTTCCTCATCTGCCTTTCCTTTAGCGATCAGTGAGACGTGTCCACTCTCTTCCTTCAGGGCATGTGGAGAATGGGGGAATCGGTGATGTGTCTTCACAAATGGGTCCATTGATACCTTGCTATCTGGTTCTCCAAATCGCTAAGTTGATGCGAATATTGCCTTCACACAAAACCTTCTTTGTCACCTCCCCTAATTTAAGTGCTGAAATCCAAAAGTGGTGGTAGTCAGCGTGTAAAGAATTTTCTTTGATGAAATGTGAACAATGAGAATGGTTCCCGAGGGGAACCATGCAGGTAATTTTTTTTGAATCGCCTTTGTATTGTCTTGAAAGAACATGACCTCATTCTGACTACTTCAATTTGTCTGGCTAATTTTCTGGGAACGACAAGCTTTTTTGGCTTAAACACCTTTTTGATGTTTGGTGGACATCGAGTCGGGACCTTGTTCCTCCCAGACAGTGGAACAAATCCTTCAGGAGGGCGTCACGGTCATTTTTCACTACAAGTCAGCCACCTCACTGACATTCTAAGGTGGGACAGGAGGGGAAGCAGTGAAACCACCTTCTACTTCCTTAATGATGGACCTTTCTAGTCGCTAGCTTCTCCAACTTTTTCAGCTGATGAGACAACGCTCTGGCACTAGTGTCATCGGAGACACTGACATTATCTTAGTGCGAAATTTTGCCATCAAGGTGATTGCCTTTCCTAAGGCAAGCCAATTTATGTTTCCATTGTGTTTCATGTCAAGGATATGAAGACCATCGAAAAAGTCTCCATTTTTCTTCTTCTTTTTTGACACCATAGTGGTCCCAATGACAAACGATACAGCGAAATCCTAATTAAACCCAAATGCACTTACCTCCACCATTTTTACTTTCCACCACCATTTTGTCGGTCCGATTTACCAACTGACAGCTTTGAAGAAGACAAACCAAGAGGAGAAAAACAGGAGGTGAGCCACGCTAAGCGGATTTTCTGAATGGGAAAGGAAAGGGAAGATGGGAAGGAGGCAATGTCTTACTAGAAGGGTGCTAGATTGTTCATCGACGTCACCGCCATTATCTCGCCCCGTCTTAGCTAGTGCATCGTGGCGGAGCAAGGGTGAGCTTTGTATGCCGAACCAAACTTAATGATACTGAAAATCAAGTTAAAAGATGACCGACAAAGATGGATGGATGAATGGGTGTGGTCAAGAAAAGGTGATGGACCAAATTCCAATGTGTAGGGCGGAGGCATTAGCCTAAAACGTGTGGGGAGGCGGACAGGGAGGGTAACAACTGCTGGACAAGTAAAAATCATCGTCAAATGCGTTCTCCATCAATGACCTCCACCTTTGTTTAGTTCCTTGGCACTGTTAATTGAGGCACAAATGCTACTGAATTGCAACAGTCATCGCTGCATTTTACTTTGAATGACAAGTAGACCTCAGTTGATTGATGCTTTCAATAACTCCTCATAAATTTACCTTTTTCACCAGTTTCTTCATATCTTATCCAATCTACCTGATTTTTAACCATTTTCGCCAGCCGCCCTGCTGATGTCAAACCTTGTATCCATAATTCTCTCTTGCATGTTTTCCAGTTGGATGTCAACCATCTACTCTAGCCAACTGTTTACCTAAGATCGACAACTAATTTTTGCGGAAAAAAATGTTCAAAATTTGTAAGTCCCCCTCAAGGGTAATTAAGTGTCAACCCCCATCCATCTGCCTCCCAATCTGAGCTCCATCTTTTGGCCCAGGTGACACGTGGTCCACTTCCAAATCACTTGCCAAATTAAATATTGTTTACTTAAGCTGGCGATTGGCATGCAGTAGACCTTTACCGTCTCATTTACACCGTGCCAATCGTGAATTCCATTTTAAACCGTATGCTGTGATGTTGACATGCCCTGCCAGATGGTGGGATTGATAGGAACCAGTTGAGCATAATGCCTTTATAAATGGTGGAGCTGACAGAAAAGGCTTCATGTTGACATGTTCAGCCCTGATGACTGAGCTTTTTGTCGGGAGACAAGTGAATAACGCATATTTTAGGCTGAATTGCGACATGAATCTCGCCATACTTTACTTTCATGGCAAGAAGAGCTCTTGAAGTGATATTTTATCATTGAGCATAATTGTTTACCCACACAGCGACTGGCTGCGAATGATTTATGGAGTTTTCAGGTGGTTAAGTGCATATAAAGTCGCTGCTTTACCGTGGTGTGTTCTTCGACGACCAAGAAGTTCTACTCTATCTAGCACGAATTTAGTCAAACAACCTTCACACTTTTAAATTTACCTGTACCGAGTTATTCAATGAAGTCAAACTACATGGCAGAAGTGAAGGTTCGGTTGGGAATTGGTTGGCTTGATTTCGCTATTATGCCTATTAGAGGCATCTCCACGATGTTTCTGTCTAATGTAATTTCTGCTGTACAGATTTCATTCAGCCTCTGTTTACTGCGAAAGTGAGTCGTTTGAGTACCGCTGTCCTGCTATTATTGATGGGTGGGCGGAGGGCATTGAGCTGGGGGAGGAGGTGGAAGGAGGGCAAAAGAAAGCAATGCACGTTTCATTTATTGATGTCTGTCATAAATTTGTACGTCATTCTTTTATTCGTCTTTGATGCGTCCGTTGACTACCTCATTCGCCAAACCACTAATACGAGTCCATTACAACAATCCATTCTTCCAACCTTTCAACTAGAGTCTAGCCACTGCCATATTCACTTGTCTACTCTCCTTGCCATCCAGTACCCGTTTTGCTTTTCCTTGTCTTAGCTGTCAATTTATCAGTGTCGTTTTAATCCACGCGTTCAATTCCCTCCTCACTTTTCTCCGTATTTATCAAGATCGATTTTATAAACCAATCTCCAATGGTTCCCATCTTTGGTTAACTTGACTTTTGTTTGCACCAAAAAATTCTGATCCATTTTTGGATAAGAAGGGGCTTTCTAAGTCGTGTTTGAATGAATTCTCCCTCAGTATCATCTTCCTGTTGGCGTTGCCTCGTAGAACCGGTTGGAACTGGCAAGAGAACTTTAAGTGAGTCAATTTGTTTTGAGAAATGCAACTTATATGACCTAGGTTACCGTAAAAGATAGACCATTGTCTATCAGATCTCCAGATCCTTGACTTCCTGGGACCGTAGCTACCTGCTCTTCTTCACATCAGTTTAAAGAGATTGGGTGTTTAGGTCTCTAAGTTACTTGGCTTATGATCGATCAGTGATTGGTCTCTCATCAACCAATCGTATTAAGGCTGTCATGAGTAGATGGCCTCGTTGTAGCTACTCTCGGAAAAAGCAGCCTAGACTATTTGAAAACAAAATGACGTTTTCATGAGTTTGTGCGGTTTCCAAGTGGATGAGTGATTATTAACGTTTTCACTCATTTGTTACATAAGTAAAAGCAAATTAAGTAACCTACCCAAAGCCTGAGAGTTGATTGGTGCATCACCTCCCCTCACTCTGTTATTGGCTTTGCATCAGCCAATGACATGAATAGTGTTGCTCACCTGCGGAATATTTTTCATTTTAGCTCCATTTCCGGTTTACCTTAAAAGGAAGTTCAAAAACACAAAAGAATTAAAACTTAAGGTCAGAGAGTTGTACGCGCTCTCGTTTAGTTCTTTTGGTAAGCAGAAATATTGCAGGGCTGCTATAGTACTTCCTGTTTAGTGTGGCCATGGAACCCGTGCCAAACGTGCTCCTTTTAAAATTTGCCTTATAGGCTTGCGCACTTTCTAGGCAAAAGGTTTATTTTGTTACACTAAAGCGTTTTGATTGTCTTAAAGCTCAAAGCTTTGAATGGTATCTAGACTATTTGCTATTGAGCTGACAAGCGACCCTTGTACGGGTTTTCCCAAATGCGCTTTCGGCTGTTTATGCCATGTGTTCCTCGTGATTTTACGGTAGCTGTTTGTACCTGATCGTGTGCTTGTAAAAGGTTAACAGGACTTGAAACAAGTAAACAGCATTTACATTTTCTTATTAACTTTGCCTTTTTAGCTGTGGTAAGTTGTGAATATCGCTGACATTGCTCAAACTCTGTTCTAGCGACAAGGTTATAGTATCAGTGCTTCTGCTCCAAAAATTTGAAAATAAAATACATTTTTACACCGCTCTACAAAATTTTGACAATAATCGACAAAGTCGAACAACGATTTCATACTTTAAACCATCATAAAAAGCTTCAAAGATGGTCCAAAATAAGGAACGCATAAATGGGAGATGACGAATCAGTTTTATTGTTTGTGCTACTTGCCTGCAAAATACATGAACTAGTCGCTAATTTGACACATGTTTACATTAGAGAAAATTCATGACTAAATTGTGACGACGACTTATGGAACTGCGATTCGGGCGGTAGCTGCACGTAACAGCAAAAAAATTGACATCGACACTACCATGGTCTTTGGTCATCACGTTTCGCGTTACCCCGGTGAGGGGCCAGGCGCTTGGTGTGATTTGATTCCATTTTTTGTAAACTTTTCAGGTAATGCGATCACAGGTTCATCTAGCCTTTGGTCTAACCCCATGTAGTGGGAAGCAAGGCGGTGCGGAATCTTCCTTTGGCAGTCATAACTAATGAGCCTATAGTGGCAGCTTCAAGTCATTGGAATATGGATCAGTTCTGATCAAGTGCTAACTTCACTTTTGCTGCCTGTAATCTTTCAAGTACTTTAATGGACTTACGAGAAGTACTCTCTAATTTTTAAGCTCTATAGCCTCCGAACTCGCGAACTGATCACCGAGCTGCCCTTGACGACCGATACGCTTCGGCTGAACCCTGTCAACACTCCTACACCCACAGCGTCGAGTTTTACTGACTTCGAAGATGACACAGAGTCAGTTCGAACGGACCTACGGGGACGAGGTGGAGAGACGTCAGAACCAGTTCGCGCCTTTGGTGGTTACAATCGACCTAGTGCTATTCTCTTCGACTTTGATCCGCGATTCGAGAATTCGCGCATCCTTCTTGCCAATGTGCACTTTGTGCAGACGCAACAGGACTCGGGCCATTCCCTGTTGCAGCACTACAATCGGCGATTTTCACTAGGTGAGGGCTTTTTCGAGGCTCAAGCACCGTGTCTGTCCCTTGTGCGACTTCCTTCCTGGCAGAGAATCGCGAAGACACGAGACTTTGGCGGATTGCCTGGTGAGTGCACAAATTCGTCAGGTTCGCGTGATTGCTGGAGGCGCAGCCAGATTAGAGGAGAGTAAATAAACTAATAAGCGCATAGAAAAATAAGTTAGTGGATACGCAACTTAAACAAGGAGGAGGTGGGTAGCTAGGCTGGAAAACAAATGGATAATCAAGCTCTTATACGTGCGGATGATTAAAAAACTTGCAGGTAAAAACTAATCCGCATTTCTGCAGAGGCAGTAAATAGAGCTGCGGTTTGAAAGTAGACGGCGTGGCGGAGTGGAATCAAAGAGTAAACACTGATGGCAAATCGCCTATTCAATACTCTAAACCTGGGCGTTTTGTTTGCAGTAAATGGTTTGGATTTTGGAATGATGTTCTTCGTTAAGGACTCTTTTCTAAACTTGGTGACTTTTAAGTTAGTTTCATGCGCATTTCCCTACCAAGTCTTCACAAATCACTTGCCTTTCACCATCTTCGAGGCTCTGTCAAAAATTGAAAGTGTAGACTGCTATCTGGCAGCTAGTCTGAACTGTGGATGGGCAGGTTTTTTGGACTAACAGATTGCAGATGAAATGAACAGGATGGTGATTTCTACACCAATCCGATCCCACCTTTTTAAAGGCCACAGAGTTTCATAGTAGCCCAAGGCTTATGATTCACTGGGAGTAAATGATACTAAGCGTTCATTTTAGCCCTTCTCTTTTTCACTTTAGTCTTGCTATTATGGAAACAGTTTACATTTTATAGACTCGTCGCCCCATTTATTGCCAAAATTGAACCTTTAATGGTCGAAAGGGATGCGATAAATGTGGCTTTACGAACAAATGTTTTGGTCGTTTTTCTAACTTAAAAGAGCCAGTACTCTACATGGAAGTATTTATCATCCTTTTTATTTAAGGGAACTGTAATCTTCAACATCACAAACAAGTATGCTGCTGCCATTCCTGGGTTTGGAATTAATTAAATATAGGTAGTTTCACGGTAGATGACTTTTAAGTCTTTTTCCAAAAGTGGAGGAGATTCGGTTTTCAATGCTAGTGATTCGTTCTCCAGTCAAAGGTGGCGCACTCGAACTCCATACTAAAAGTTAGAAAATAACAATAAAAGGTGTGACAAGCATGACATGAGTTACTGTTTGGGGAATCAAAGACCACCAAACGTCTTTTAGTGTCAAAGTAGGCGAAGATCATGTTGTTGCTATTCCTTTGTTCCCCGTACTCTCCATTCTCCGCCACGATGTTAGGTACCGATGCCCGTAATCAGTTCCCTATTCGTTCGATTTAACAACCACAGTAAAACATACTGACAAGGTCATTTGATAGCAAAAATGGCGTCCATTAAAACGTTAATGGACGTCTCTAAACTCCATTATAGTACAAAAGAGAGATGAAATTCGGTTATAAAAAATTTGCGGCTATAAAATCTTTTGGTAGATTGCCAAGGTGGGTGTAGTTTTATTGCCAAAAAAAACGTGGTGATATGTTCAGCTTTGGCCATAAATATGCCTTTTGGTATTTTGGTGCTGCATTTTATGGAATACTAAGTGCAACTCATGGTAGTTCACATTCACTGATACTTGGCCGTGTCGTGGTTCCTTTTCCATCTCGAGTCGCTGCAAAGGCTGTCTTTGCGACGGTGTCGTTGGGCAGAGTGCTGATGCAAATCGTTGTCTAAACATTTTTTGGTTCGTGGATGGTACTAGGCGGTGTTCGGTGCATCACAATTCATGCTACCTCTGCATGCGCCTTTAAATGTATGTTAATTTAGCCAGTCAATCATGTCTTTGCAAGTTTTATTTTGACAGGCGCTTTTTTGATACTTTACGTAAATGTTAAGCTTGGAAGTGCCCACAAATATGACAGACTCTCACCTCCCTGAAATGTCGAACTTTTAAAAGACTTTGTATTTCGTAGTGAAGAAACCTCGTTCAGTTAAACGTCCATTTGTTGCATTTTGTTAGTAGGACAACAGTAAAAGTATCGAAACGCGTTGGGAAATTTTCTGGGACCAATTTGCAGTTTGAGTTGGTTTTAACTCACCAGAAAATGTCATAACTTCCAACGTGGTTTGATAGCTTATTTGAATTGTAGTTACTGCCTGCCTACCCTCTGGTCCCTGGTTCTCAGACTTTAAGAGGAAGTTGGTTGTGGACGGTTTATTAGGCATCTCTGTAAGAAGGATAGGGGAATAAAATGCAGATGTGATGAGCAGGGGATGTCAATCGCAGGGAGGCTCCTCGTCGACCTCGCGCACGCGATCCACGTTTCCAATTGCTTTACGCCTCTCGCCCATATAAGTCCACTTAAACAAACTAGAATATATTACATGAATAATCCTAGTTTGCACCATTATTTTAAATTATAGAATACAACCTGAGTGCAATCCTTTTTCTGTCCTTGCACAGACTCTCTTTTACAAGAGCAGCGTGCCGACAGGCGATTGGGGAGCGGAATAAACATTCTTAAGGTCTTCTACTCTCCCGCCGGTCATCTTATTTTTGCTGTTGTGACAACTACTTCGACATGCAGGTGCGGGTCGTTGGCTCAGGCCCTACTTTTCAGCAATTTCTGTCAAAGCTCTAGTGAGACTGTATCAGGATCCGGAAATAGTCCTGACTTGTCTCAACAGGTGATTTTCTCCTTGAATATGCTTAATAATAAACTTCGTTAAGCTAACAAGTGTCTAAATCGTTATCTCTTAAGCGTCATTGGAGCACAGGAGAGGGTGGTATTGGTGAGGTTGGATCTTTCACTCCTCAGCCCCCACCCCCGCCTCCAGGATACACACCGCTCTTCCTTACCGTCTTTCATAGCGACAGTTTGGACACACTTCGAGTAATACGTTTCGACCGCCCTCTCTGCCCTCTACACACCTGTCCGACCAACTATATGCCCATAATGAGTAGATGTGGTGCTCGACTGGCGTTAATAGCTTTAGCTACCGTCGGAATTGGTGGCGGTAGTGGTGGCGTGAAAAGGAGGTATAGAGGAGGAAGAAGAGGTCTGGTAGAGGTAGAGAGCAGTGGTGGGACACCAAGAAGGCGCCGAGTAAACACCATCAATACGTCTGAATCAGCGGCCATAACCGCCGGAACTGCGACAAATCGACCTGGAAGCAGCCATGTAAGAAATACTGTTGCACAATTTGGTTCATCCTAAAACGTTCCTCGAGATATGCAAAAGTATTGCATAAAGTTACAAGATTTTATGAAATTGCCATTACCGACTTTTCTTCCTATGGCTTGACTTTGAGCTTCTTTGATGTAGGTGCCCATTTTAGCCACTTCCGTCCCAATAAATGGTTGGATGGTGTGAATCCTCCCACTCTTTTTGCTCTTAAAGAAGTCAATCTGACTGTTTTGCACACTTGTGATCATGCCAGACCGATTGGCATCTTTTTGAAGTCACTGATAAATTGTTTTCAGCTTTCCACTAATTGGTTGGAGGGGGACTGGGAGACGAATGCGTGGGCTGAGGACGAAATTCATCCCCCCGGCAAAGCCGCATCAATAGATACTGGCAATATTAGTCCTGGGCGTAGAAAACTACAGGAAATGGTTTTCGTCTATCAGTTGGAACCTCCTCCAACCTTGCAAGCGATTGCAAGGCAGAAGATTAGACAAGTAAGGATTAAAGTGGTTAAAACAAACAGTTTATTGTTTGTTTTGATGTCTGTACATGGTCAGCAGTAAAGACACTCTCTCCTGATGGCATTTTAGTACTACGCCGACTCTACACTCGATCACCTGGGACTACCACCAGGACTGGTGGCGTACTTACGGTTTCAACCGTCCTTTAGTTGTTCTGGATCCTGTCTATCCCGCTCAGAGAGCCTCTCGACTCTTTCAGCGCTTCTCACTCCCCTCCGCAGCAACTCTCTCGAACTCTAACTTTCTTACAGCAAGCTTTAATGCTTTTCTTTCTTCACTCTCTCTGTGATAGGCCTGCTTGGCAGGATTGTTCTTTTCCTTTTTTTTTTCGATGCTGTAAATAAACCTACTTAAGATGTTATTTCTTTAAGAAGGGAGAAGGATACTATATGGCCGGATGGAAATTGCGAATTTCAGTACTGGATTTACCATGGGGTGGATTGCAACTGTTTTCATTTCCTGTCAAAGTACTATAGTACTTGAGATGTTAGTGAACACAAAGTTAATAAGCTTGAGAATTCATTTGTTTATCCTAATTTTCGTCTTACTGACAGCAAGTTGGCGTTCGCCTTGCCCTTGCCTGAGGGTGCTGGCTTTTGCGCCAGGCTAACGTCCGATTTCTTCACCCTCCCTGTTACCAAATAGTTGGTCTTGGAACAATATACTGCAGTAGGTCTGATCGGACTGGAAATTGTTGTTTTCCAACTTGCGACTACACGTTGATGAAGAATGCCTCAGTGTGATTCTAGAGTATGTAGTTCCGGCTGACGAATCTCTTGTTTTTGGAAACAGAAGGATCGACAACGACGTCTGTGTCCGACAGTTACCTTATTCCCGTTTTCCCCAGGCAATTTAACAACTGCAGCCATCATGGCGTAAATCACTGGAAGAATTCAATTTTGGAGGCTTTTTTACATAAACGCTAAAATTCTGGTTATGGCACTACGTTAACACCCTAAATTTTATACGAGAAGGATGGACGACTCCATTTTTTTACAGAAAATCGTTTTCAGTTTAGTACTATAATGTTTACCACCAACAAGAATCGATTATCAATAAAGGTGACCAATCGCGATTTTCCAGAGGGTTAATTGCAATTTTTAGTCTCATATAAGTCTGTTACTGGCGCCGCTAACTTGTGGGTGTTTTCTTGCTTCACCAAATAAGTTGTGGTAAACAGAGAAGAAAATACGTCGAAAAAGTGCTGAAAACATCCCTTAAAAGAGGAGAAGGGCTATATAATGCCTTGGTTATGCTATTATTTGTATGATTAGCGGTGAATTTGGTATACGTCTTGTCCTTGCGTGAGTGAGCGAAACTTTGGGCTAAGCCAAAGCCATCCATTAACCCTCCTCTCTAATAAAAGGCATTCAGTCATATCCAGTACAACAAGCACTCTACAAGGATGTCAGAGGATATTGCCGATTCTTGGAATATTGTTGCGCCAACTAGTCGAATCAGTTGTGGTGATCTAGGTAGTGGTCTTCAAAATGTAACGGCAGACTTCTAACCTTTCTCATAGAATACAAGTCATATTCTTATTATACAGTTTTATAATAAATTATCAAGATTCTCTTGTAGCCAACTCGATGTGTGCACAATCTTATGTTTAAAGTTTTTAAACCAAACGAAACTCCATGAGCTATTTAACCCGGAAGATTCCCAGAAGAAAAGTCTTTGCCTATTGAAATATAGATTTGAATGTTATTACGCAATTTTATTTGCAGTGCTATTTATTGTTTAAACTTTTTGACCGCCAAAGATATTTGACCTAAGATCGTTGACTATTTCAGTATTGGCGTACATGTGATTGCTTGGAATATGCCCATTAGGCGAAGAATAAAAAATTCTGTCGGACATTATTCGCGTGCTGAACTCTTAGTGAGGGGAGCCACTTCAAACGATTCCTCCATGCCCGGTCCGGAACTTCTTTTGGAAATTGCAGACATGACGATATCCCCATCTCTCTATGCTGATACGGTAGGCATGATATGGAAGCGGCTAAATGACAAGTGCAAGAATTGGCGACATGTCTACAAAGCTCTCGTTGTTATTGAGGCATGCTTGCAATATGGAAGCATGCGCGTAAGCTTTTATAACCCATTATTCTAAGAATTCTCATCTATACGAATGGCATTTTATTCTGGAAATATATAATGCAGAAATGCAAAACGCTGTTTTCCTTTTAGTTTGCTAAAGAATGTCGTGCTCAACTACCGCAAATCCTAACTCTCTGTGACTTCGTATATTCATATGATCAAAATTCCAATGCTGGATTTCTTATTAGAGAAAAAGCTCAACGTGTAGTAGCTCTTCTAAAAGACGAAAACCTTCTCAAACAGGAGCGACAGACTGCAAGAACGAGCCGTCCAAAGGGTAGGTTTGTGCTTCTTTAGATAGGAAAGGTATTGTTTTGCAAACAGTGTCCTCCTCTCTCGACCAGCAAACTTCCGGCCACATACTTCCTCTATTTACCCAGATAGAGACGGAAATCTCGATTGTAGACGTCGCGCTAGATCGGTTTACAATCCTTCGGATGAGTATGCGGTGCGCACGGAGATAGAGAACTGCGAACAGCTTAGATTGGCAATGAATCTTAGTCTCCAAAAGCCCTCCGATAATACTGCGACAAAATCTGCGCCAGACGTCAAACCCACTCTTTTAGAAAGCTCGCGAAAAGCAGGCGTCAGTTTCTGCCTTTTTTAATTTAATCTCTTGATTAAAGCCCTGCGGAGTGCTTAGATGAAATACAATGTGCCCATCGACATCATATTAATAATAGGTTTAAAAGTTCATTTTCTGCCTGAAAGCAATTGTTTGCCATAGCGGTAATCCAGATACTAACCTCGACCTACTCATTTAATTGGACTCGACACAATGGAAAATTCGTAAAATGAATTTTTACAGTTTGAGGTTCCGTACCGCTAGAAAGCAATGAAATCTGTTGCTCCCAACTTTTGATGGCGTTAATTTATTTTTTAGAAAACTAGCGAATGCATAATGAGGGCTGCTTGGCATAAGGTATTTTCGACAGGTTAACCTTGAACAACTCATTCGTGTTTTTTCGGATCTTTAAAAGAAAGCATCACATGATTTGGAGCTCAAATGCTTATTTCTACCATTTTTGATTTGATAGTAAATTAATAGCATTAGCTTCTTGCTTGAACGATTACTCCGAACTAGAACCTATTTTCGCTTAAGTAGTTAGTGAAAATTAAAAGATATATATTTCGCTTTTATAACATTTAACTTCGCCATTGATGTCAATTGATGGAATTCCTTCAAAGAGGTATGCAGCCGGCGCAGTCAGCGTGAGTTTCACTGTCACATGAGTGATCTCATCATTCTTCTCCATCAAGAGACTAATTCAACTTATTCAAGCTGTCTCACTATTGCGTTGTTTGATGGGTTTCTTATAACGTTTTATTCGACTCTATTTTATCTTCTCTTTTAGAAGAAGTGTGAAGATTTGCTGTGCCTTGACGAGGAGCCCCCTAAGTCAGGACGACTCAACTCATGGTTAGAGTCGCGATTCAAGCGCTTCTCCAGTCTTTCCGTCTCCGACCTCTGCACCCCCTCCTCTAGCTCAACTGGTAAGCTTATGTCCCCTTTGAGTGCACTGTAATCTTGACGATTTGTTGATCTTCGATGGCGTGGAGTGACTCTCTTTAAAATTCGTACTTGTGTGCGTAGATTTTCATTCCCACGTCTCCACTTTAAATGCGAGAGACATCAAATGTGCGTGCCGATAGTGGCTGTCCTTTTATCCATTTCTCTCTCTCTCTGCATTGTGTGTGTCGCTTCACGCGAATTTTGTGTTTAAGGTCGTTTTGGGTGAAATGTGCAACGTTTTGCACCTGTGGACCTATTCCACTGACACCATGTGGTGCGTAAAGAACGGAAAGGAGTCGCAGGCGGATTGTTAAGGTTGTCCGTAATGCGCTGAGATTCAAAAATCATTAAAAGGTGCTACACCTTAAAATTATGGACGTTGGTTATAATTTGCATAGATAGACAGGGCAGATTATACCAATGCATAATTAAAGTAGTCGCAAGGATCCTGAGACGAAACTGTGTAGGTCTTCATTCTCTTCGGCTAGTCAAAACCACGTCCGTCAGTAAAACACGAAGTTCAATACACAATCAAAGTAGGAGCACTCAAAGGTTAGCGTTAACAACAATAATGTGACACTTTAAGCCTTCAGTAAACTTTGCAATTGGGTGTTGGAGGTGTGATGAAATCGGGTGGAAAGGCACTTTGGCTTTAAGATGAGTTTCTTTAATCTGTGCCCGCACGGTGGGGTGGAGCAAACAAGCCACCTCATCTACAAGGCCTCTGACAGACTTAACTCAAGCGTGCTCTCCCTTTCCAACCCAACTTTGACACGAATTGTTTCAAATATCGAATCAACTGGACGTCTACCTTTTATATTCGGTCAGGTTGAAGTCGATTTTAGCTGTACGCAGGCATTCCCTGAAGCTGGTCTTTAAATAATTTCTCACTTGATAGAAAACTGATCCCTAAAGTCCTACAAGGGAGGCAAAACTTGAGGTGATTCCCCTTACTTGCAGATCCTGCACCACCAGTAGCGGATAAGTGGAGCGTAAATTCATCGAAAATTCCCCTCCTGAATGCTTCAGTTGAGTCACAGAAAAGCAGTGCCTTCGCCGACTTGAGTGGACTCGACTTTGGTGAGTTTTGGAGTTCTCCTCTTTTTTCTTTTCTCATCTTTTGATAACTTTTCCTCCTTTTGTGATGAGAGTAACGCAAAAGTCATCAGTTTCTTGGTCACATTGAGCAAAGACAGCCATCACCGTCGTGTGAGTGACATCGTACTACTCACTAATCAGTGCGCATCGACTACTTCGAAAGAAACTCTATACTACTTTTATAAATTTCAGCATCCATGTAATTGGAGAAACCTAACTGCGTGGAAATGGTAAAGTGGGGTTCTCTAGACCAGTCTATAGACCTGATCCACGCTCGCTTTAAGGACGACAACCATCTCTGATTCGCTATAAAGACCTAACTTCAACCACTTTTTCTTGTTGGAAAAAGGAAGCGTTGGAAAGTACGAAGATTTTCCCAAGTACAGATTACGTGGCAGGACGCCAAGGCTTTGGCGCAACGGATCGCCAGTTTTTTTAAAGTGTAAAAGGAGAGGTAACAAGTAATTACACAGATGGGGGATGAAGGTGGCGGTGGATACTGATACAATAACAATAACCTGGCTTGTGAAGAGGGAAATTTACTTATCTCACTCTACTTAAAAAGTTTTAAGCCTTGCTTAGCCTTAGCAAGCCAAATAATTTGAGTGAAATGTCTTCCTAGTGTCATTGTCTTGTCGATGATATCTTAAAAAGTGAAGCAAGGCAACGTTTTTCTTGGCGGCAGTCCATCAAACTCAGGAATGAGCAAGTAAATCAATGTTGACAAGTGATTTGGCTCAAAGGACTCCTTTTAGAGCCAATAAAAGCGGATCACCCTTTACGTGAGCGGCACAGTTGAGACGGGGTTAAGGCGATGAATAAATAAGAGGTGCCAACAAGGCAACATCAGCACAGTTTCATTCATTTTAATGTGATCCATGTAGTTCATCACATCAACAAAACAGTCTCCTTTTTGCAGACCAAAGAAAATGCAAAGGCAGACTAGAGATAGGTGGGTGTCTGCCAGGCCAAGATGGGTGAATGATCGAATGAATGCACATGTGCTAGGTGACAATGGAATGCTTCTAGTCCTTTGGATGAATCCACCCACCTTCAAGGTCGTGGTGACGGACTCACGCTCATTCATCCGCACCCACTCTAAACACGTGTGTACGACAAGGGTGCGTATGTGCGTGCTACAGCTTAGAATTGTCGCCTCAATGACTTGGTTGGTGTTGCTCAATAGGTGAAGATCTCATTATACTATTTTTGCCATTTCTCAAAGGACTCCGTTCATCATGGCAGTGGCAAATGAAAGAATTCTTTGTCCACCTCCTCTTACGTCGACAGCTTCCCCGATCTAGAGCTGCACCGGTGTCTATAAACCCAAGCCACTCGGATTCCCCCTCCTTTCTTGGGAGGATTAGAATCTCAGATGCACATTTGGTTCCCTCTGTGGGTAAAATCACGTACAGATGGATGTTGTATGCGTTGCGACCAAGCTGGGGAGGGATGAATGAGTAGAACAGACCTGTGTCCCCAGACCGTTTTCAGCCGATTGAGAAATGAGCAACGTCTCCACCCTACCTTACAACTGGAGAAATCTTTCTCCGCCAGTTCCGTTGTCAAAGCTTGGATGACCAAGAGAGAGGCTTGCGACAGGGCTTAGCACCTTCGAAATTTTCTCCAGCCATAAATTT